CCAAGGAATTCCAGCAGCTCCTCTGTGTCCATCTCTGCTGTGGGCATTTCTCTCCCATTTTTGGACAACACCATGGCAGCATGTTCCCATGCAAAATTCCCAATCTTTGGGTCTGTGCTGCTCCAGGCTGCACCAAAGGTGGATGGAAAAAGCCAGGAAGAATCCCTGGGCTCCTGGAGCTGGTTTTCCCTCTGAGCTGTGTGCTGGGCTAATGCAATAATGCCCATTCCTGCCTCTGGATGCAGTCTGGAGCTCTCCCCCTGCTCTCCTGGTCCCTGATGAGATGTTCAGGGATCTGGCAATCTGGGAATTGCATTACAGATCCCCCGGCTGCAGAGCTCTGGAGGCTCCTGATTCGATTTGCTCATTGCTCACTCCAATTTCCTCTCTTCCCCCACTGCTCCCTGATGGATAAACCCATTAGTGGGGTGGCAGAGGATGAAACTCCTGCTTTATGGACAGCCTGGCCATGCCTTGCACCCAGGGAGGTGACAGCGAGGTGGCACCAAGGTGGCAGCGAGGTCCCTTCCCCTTGGGGTGGCAGATGCAGCTCCCTCACCCCTCCAGAGCCCTCTCCAGATGCTTTTAGGGATGAGGAGCTGCCTCACTCCCAGTGCCAACCCCGTCCCCGTCCCTCTCCCCAGGTGCCCGATGCCATCCTGAAGTGCCAGCGTGCGGGCATCACCGTCCGCATGGTGACAGGGGACAACATCAACACTGCCCGCGCCATCGCCACCAAGTGTGGCATCCTGCTGCCCGGGGAGGACTTCCTGTGCCTGGAGGGGAAGGAGTTCAACCGGCTCATCCGCAACGAGAAGGGAGAGGTGCGAGAGCTCTGCCCTGCCCGGGGCCCGGAGGCTCCTGCAGCTGCAACAACCCCAAATCCTGAGGGGTTTCCCAAATCCTGAGGGGTTTTCAGGATCTTGCTGGGTTTCCCAGATTCTGATGGTTTCCCAGATCCTGAAGGGTTTCCCAAATTCTGATGGTTTCCCAAATCCTGAAGGGTTTCCCAAATCCTGAGGGGTTTCCTAAATCCTGAGGGGTTTCCTAAATCCTGATGGGTTTTCAGAATCCTGAGGGGTTTCCCAAATCCTGCTTGGTTTTCCAAGTCCTGCTGGGTTTTCCAGATCCTTATGGATTTTCCAAATCCCAATGGGTTTCCCAAATCCTAATGGGTTTTCAGGATCTTGCTGGGTTTCCCAAATCCTGATGGATTTTCCAGATCCTGCTGGGTTTCCCAAATCCTGCTGGGTTTCCCAAGCCCTGCTGGGTTTCCCAAGCCCTGCTGGCTTTTCCTCATTTCCTTGCATGAGGAAGCTGCTGGGGTGCTCAGCAGTGTTTGGGGGGAACCCACTGCCCTGTCCCAGCTGGGATTTGCTCTCTGGTGGGACAGAAGATTCCTGGGGGGGAATCACTTCCCTTTTCCTGGTCCTGCAGGTGGAGCAGGAGCAGCTGGACAAGATCTGGCCCAAGCTGCGGGTGCTGGCGCGCTCCTCCCCCACGGACAAGCACACCCTGGTCAAAGGTGGGCACTGCCCTCCCCAGGGGCTCCTCCCTGGCATTTTTCCAGTCTGACCCAGGCTGGGATCCTTCCCTTGGGGTTTCATTTCTCCTTTCCACGGCAGGAATCATCGACAGCACCGTGGGTGACCAGAGGCAGGTGGTGGCTGTGACAGGGGACGGGACCAACGATGGCCCAGCCCTGAAGAAAGCAGACGTTGGCTTTGCCATGGTAGGGCCAGCCTGGGGGTTTTCCTTTGCTCTTGGGATTGCTTCCAGACCGTGGAATCTCTATTCCAAATCTATGGGATGGACTAAAAACCCAAAAAGGGATTTTCTTAGGATGTTGGGTTTGGGTCTGAGCTGTGTAGGGCTGTGAGAAAGGGGCTGGGAATTCCTTGGAGGTCCCAGAGCAGGGGCCTGCCCTGTCCTGGTGTCTCTGCTGGATCCAGGAGAGCCATGGGAGCCCCAGGATTTGGTTTTCCCTACAGCTTTTCACCCCCAGGCACGGTGCTGGATCAGGCTTTGGGAATTTATTTATGGTGGAAAACTCTGGTTTGATGCTTTTTTATCCTGTCTGAAAGGAGAAGGAAAATAAACCTGTTGTTTTTAACAGGTTCCCTGTGGGTTAATTTTAGGGACATGAGCAGGAGCTGGGTGGAGAGCAAATGAGAGATTTTTGGGAAGTGTTTTTAGGAGTGTGCTGAACATCTAAACACAATTCCAGAAGCAGGGAAAGCTGTTCCCCTAAACACCATGCCCTGCAACAGGCAGGGATTTCCCCTTTGAGGTGGGATTGGGATCTGGGGAATCCGGGAAAACGCCAGGAATGGGCTCGTTTTGGGCAGGGCTTGGAATTCCTGCATGGAATTCCTGCGGGGCGAGCGCCTCGCTGTGCCGGCTCCGGGAAGCGCAGCCCGGCCGCTGCCCTGGGGGCGCTGCCGGGGACTTATGGGGATTTTGGAGGATTTTTGGGGATTTTTGGGAAGCTGCGGGGCCGTTCTCAGCCCGGGCCGGGGCAGAAACCTCCGGGCTGAGCTCTCCCTCCTTTGGGCTCCCAGCAGAGGCACCGAGCCCGGGATGGAGCCAATCCCTGGCATGAGGAGGGAGCTGTTGGCCAGCTGTTTCCCAGCTCTTTCCAGTCTGTTTTCCAGCTGTTTCCCAGCTGTTTTCCTGTTTCCCCAGCTGTTTCCAGTCTATTTTCCAGCTGTTTTCCTGTCTCTTTTCTAGCTGTTTTCCTGTTTGTTTACTGGCTGTTTCCTGTCTGTGTTCCTGTTTTCCCGTCCATTTTCCGTTTCCTGGCATTTCCCCAGCTGTTTCCGGACCATTTTCTAGCTGTTTTCCAGCTGTTTCCTGGTGTTTTCCTGGCTGTTTCCAGTCTCCTTTCCTGCCTGTTTTCCAGCTGTTTCCCAGCTATTTCCTGGCTGTTTCCAGTCTCTTTTCCTGCCTGTTTTCCAGCTGTTTCCCAGCTGTTTCCTGGCTGCTTCCTGTCCATTTCCCAGCTGTTTTCC